TGACCTCTTCCTGTTCTGTGACCTTCTCTACAGGACTAACCTCGTCCTGTTCTGCTACCTTCTCTATAGTACTGACCTCTTCCTGTTCTGTGACCTTCTCTACAGGACTAACCTCGTCCTGTTCTGCTACCTTCTCTATAGTACTGACCTCTTCCTGTTCTGTGACCTTCTCTACAGGACTAACCTCGTCCTGTTCTGCTACCTTCTCTATAGTACTGACCTCTTCCTGTTCTGTGACCTTCTCTACAGGACTAACCTCGTCCTGTTCTGCTACCTTCTCTATAGTACTGACCTCTTCCTGTTCTGTGACCTTCTCTACAGTATAGACTTCTTCCTGTTCCTTCTCATTCTCTGCAGTACAGACATCTTCCTGTTCTGGCTTCTCGATAGTACTGACCTCTTCCTGTTCTGTGACCTTCTCTACAGTATAGACTTCTTCCTGTTCCTTCTCATTCTCTGCAGTACAGACATCTTCCTGTTCTGTAAGCTTCTCGATAGTATTGACCTCTTCCCGTTCTGCGACCTTATCCACAGAACTGATCTCTATCTGTTCTTTGACCTCAGTCACAAGGTTTGCATCTACATGGCTTACAACAGTGAGACTATGACAAATTGACTCTTCTGGTGTGCCAATGTGCGATTCCCTCTCATATACAACAGTAGAATCAGCAACATTATTGCTCTCTGCTCTTACACTGTCCATGTTTTCTCCATTGTCTCTCACAGCATCAGCTATTTCCTGGTTAGTGCGGATGAGCAGCTCTTCACCATCGACAATTCCTGCTTCCCTTGCTGCATTCCGAGAATCTCCACTGCTAGAGCGACTCTTCTTACTGATTCTTGTTCCATCTGGTGCGTGACGCCTCTTGTTATCTTTAACCCTCTTCTCATTGGTCCTACTGCTTCTGCTCTTTTTATGCTTTTGCCTCAACTTTGTCGATATCCTCTCCGTATCGTCCTTCTCTGAGTCGCTGCTACTACTACTACTGCTGCTGCTACTGCTACTGCTATTGCTGCTAGAACTACTAGATTTGGAAGTTTTCTTTGAAACCTTCTTTGTCTTCTTTTTGATATACGAATCACTGGAGCTGCCTGAAACTTTCTCGTCTTCTTTCTCGGCCGCGACTAAATTTTCAGCATTGGCACATATTTCCGATTCCATCCGGCACATCGAAGTTTGATCATCTGGTGCGTTGCATATATTACTCTCGGCTGCGGGTACAGACACTGGGGAGTCAAATGATGACACATGCTCATGTACGACGGTTGTGGACGTTTCTGTCACCTGCTCACCTCCTCCAGTTGACATAAAACTCATATAACTTCTACTCTCCGTTATTCCGCCTCTCTCGCATGCCTCTGTCTGCATGACAGCTGACTGACTGTCGCCTGTTACAGCAATCGCGCGAGAGTTCTCTTTCATCACGGCAGTGATGATGGATTCACTCTTCAGCATTATTTCTCCTACGGATATTTTTTGATCGGTGCCTTCATCCTCCCGGGCTGGTAGCGCAGACGTGGCAGCCAATGCATTATCATCATCATCATACTCCACTTGCATCTCTGCCGACTGGCTAGTGACCACGACTGCAGTGTCATCTAGGCTGTGACCTTCATCATGTTCAGCCTTGTCTTTATCATGGTCTCTTCCCAACGAAGCTGTTACAGTGTAGACGCTTGACTCGTCGCATGCCCTCTCTTCCCTTGTGTGAGCCTCGCACGGCGCTGCTACTATGTCATCCTGGGTAGACGCCACGGGTAAACCTGCGCCGCTGTCGTCATGCTGGTCTGCCTCGTAGATGGTCTGCCTCTCTGTGGTACACTCGATCGTCGTTTGCTGTTCCGAAAATCCTTCTGCCTCGTGGATGGCCTGCACCACCGCCGGACACTCGATCGTCGTTTGCTGTGCCGAAAATCCTTCTGCCTCGTGGATGGCCTGCACCACCGCCGGACACTCGATCGTCGTTTGCTGTTCCGAAAATCCTTCTGCCTCGTGGATGGCCTGCACCACCGCCGGACACTCGATCGTCGTTTGCTGTTCCACAATGCGTTCTGCCTCGCACCTGCCATCGACGTTGACCGCGGACTGCACCTCCTCGCGATACTCGAGTACTATTTGCTGTTCTGTAGGTGCTCTTGTCTCGCGTCTGTCGTTGGCCTCGGGTTGACCAGCGTCCGGCCGATACTCCGTCCTGTACTGGACATCACAAGGGGCGTCGTCGTCGTGTTTCTCCGGGCTCTCGGCTCGGCACATCTCGGTCACGAGGTCGGGAGAACGACAAGGCTCGTCGCCAACTAAACTAGCGCCACCTGGCGACGCTTGGATCGCATGCAGGCTTACGTCGTTAATGGCGCGCGCGTCGCTAAGGTCGTCGGCGGACGACGACAGAACTGCCTCGTGCTCGTCCTGATAAATAACAAGCACCACTGAAGCTCTCCGTCGCGGTGGTCCTACGGGGCTATACGGTGCGACACGGCAGGCTAAATTCATCTCTAACGATTTGTCACTTCTCAACAACTGATCAACATTTGTCTGCTAAACAATCCTCGCTGAACTATTGAGACGAAAGACTAACAAAGGAGCGTCTGTGATAAGATTCTGTGCTGTCCTAGGCATAAAGGTCCGTCAAACATACATAAAAACGTGAGCGTACATGCACACACGCAGACCACGGGATAAACTGTGCAGAGAACCATTTCTCACTCGGAGTAACTTGCTACTATATAGATTTACCAGAGCACTCACATGTCTCAGTGAAGTGATGCTATCACATGCACAACGATTGATGAATTTTCGAGAACGATTCCGATATCTCTGCTTACTAATTTCAACCAAAAAAAACGGTGCAACGTGGGTAGGGGCGATGAGAGGGTTGCAAGTAAACACGTCCGATTTGCCGAGTTTTCACGTTAAAAATATTTCCGGTGATCCAATTTTTGCTGAAAACATTTTATACGACTTTTTTACATTACACTTGTTTAGTAAATTTTTCGATGCATCAAAACCAATAACTTCAGTGTGATAAAATAATCAGATATCCATAATCAGGTGAAAATTTCATTGAGACCAGATAATCTTTACCAAGACCATCACACGAGGAAATCACATCAGCGGACGTATTCACTTGTAATCCGCTAACGACAAAAGGATGCGGGGTGAGACTGAACAACAGGCAGATGTCAGCACTTACTGTGAAACGCTTCGGTCTCGCCTTGGTCTTCTCGACCTTTGCAGGCTCCTTGCCCTTCTGTTCGAACATATTCTTCAGCTTGCGCGCGTGATCCATGTCGGGCAGGTTGTCGTCAAAGTCCGTCGCGACGTCCGAGCGCACGACGTTCGGGTCTCTGTCTGGTTCCGCGTCGTCGTAGACCTGTCGCGAACGAGTGGCGCCACCTGTACTCACATGTCACTACTAAAATCCATCACGATTTAAATGAAATTAATGCCCGTGAATGAAATGCTACCCCGACGAATTAAATTGTTATCGATGATATTAGTTGATATTAGTGATGAACTTGTATTCATCTATGATCTATCTTTGCCCAAAACATGGTATGTGACATTAAGTGTCATAGTGGTCCACAAATGAGTGCAAGATTTTAATCCGTAAATCTGACACAAACACAATGACAACAATCTGTAATGCTGTCAACAACAACTACGATAATCGAGAAAAGGTTTACAAATATTAGAGTTGCCAGTATATCATTTGCACGAGTCAGGGCGATTACTGTGTTAAGAAGGTTCTTACCATGGTGGCCTCAGATCCTTCGGGAGGAGGTGTGATAGCTCGTGGAGGAGGAGGGCCAGCCCTCGTTTCCTCTTTCTGCTCTTCCATGCTCTTGAACCTACGCGGTAATAAAGCCGGATTGCGTTACGTAATATTCACAATAATTACCAAACTTTAGATCTATAGCTACGTTCTGTCAGTCGCGTTGCGCATGCATTCAATCTCCAAAACTAATCAATAGACAGCTATTTGCTGCTATTATGCTGCACAAAGAAAGACATACTATCAAATTTGTGCGCAAAAAAGTTATTGCAAGATGTCTTTTTAAATATAGCACGATGGTCATGACATGATGATGTAGGTCATGTCAGTCGCGTGTGCACGCAGTAAATTCCGAAATCCAGTAAACAGCTAATGATATGTTGCGCCAAGAAAGCCATACTTTCAACCTATAGAAGACATTATGTCTGTTATAGAGACATATTT